TGTTAGTCTGGTGAGAGCAGTTTCTTTTGTATTGTAGGGATTGTTTAAATAAATGATAGTTGAACCAACCAACCTATTATAATTCCAGAGTACATTTTGTTCTTACTGAAACTGGATTAGTTTCTATCACTATGTAATATTTGATGATAGAAGGGATAGGCAGTTAAAGAAAAAGAACTTATTGAAATAATTTCTTTAATATAGTCTTTCTTATATGCAATTAAAAATAGATGCATGTTGTATATTTATACATATCACCCTATAAAATGTACAGCTCTCCTTGTTTTTTTTTTATAACATGTACATCTAATACATAAAGAGTTCAGTTCTAATAACCACTAGTGTGTTCAGTCACTTGGTGAGAAAGTAGCTCATGGTCTAGAGGGAAACACAATTTCATTTGGGTTTTTAAGCAAGTCATTGTTTCATTTGGAAACTGAAATCAGTGAATAGGCTTGTTCTCTTTGTAGAGGATTACAATAACACACGGAAGCTTATGAGTGCTTCTGACAGATGTGTTGGCAGGTTGCCACAGAGCTAAGGGTGCGGCCCTGACTGACAGCTCGCAATTACATTATGATGAACGCCTCTGATGTGTGTTCAAGAGAAAACCACTTTCTAGAAAGTGAAAGTCATACATACATACATACGATTCCTATAAAAAATCAGCTCAAATAAACTATTACAACTTTCTATTTTATTTTAGTGTTTTGGTGGGCTAAGCAATTCATTTGCTCCTCCTTTGTTTTTGATAAATCAAGAATCAAATTCAAAATTTTTGTGGGGAAAACAAACCTAATATTATTATTGGGGGATCAGAATTGCTTTATGTATGGCTTTTTTGGGGTACCAAGGATCGAACTCGGGTCCTTGTGCTTGCACAGCAGGTGGCAAAACCACTGAGCTAAATCCCTGGCCCCTTTATGTGTGTTTTTAAAAAACTGAATCCCTGAGGAAATATTTAACTCTTACACCAACACTTGAAACTCATATACATATCCATGGTGTGGATATGAATACTAGTAGAGTCCAGCATTCAGAAAGAAACTGCTCTTTTTTGGCCAAGTCACTTCTTGATGAGTTTTGCTGTTTGTGTTAACACTGAAAGACAGTGTAGTCAAACAACATGGGTGGATTGAAATTTTGGGTCATTTTGATGTTTTCTTTACACTTTTCTGATTTAAATTATTTAAGAAAAATCAGAGTATGGCATCTGATTTTAGATTTTTCAAGAGTTAATTTGCCTCACTGTATAGAATTTCATTACTCAGTGATGAAACTAAAATGCATAAAATATGTGTTAACTGGCAATTTTTCTGCATGAATTAAGGAAATGTTGACTGATTTTTAAAAAAACTAAATCATATAAAAATGCAAAATTAAGTTTTAGATGTATTTTGTTGTGCAATACTGAGATTGTGGAATTTGTAGCTATTATTTTGAAAATATAAGTTTTTATCTGACTCTTTGACAAGTCTAAAGAATGATATTCTTGAAGTTAGGCAAGGAACTTCTATTAAAATAGCTAGCAAGCAAAATTTTAATTGAAGAAATATAAATACATGCTGTAATATTTAGCATATGAAAGAATATAGCTACAATAGTTAAACTCTTCAGAAATAGTCATATAAAAGTAAGGCATTAAATAATACTATTTTCAAAAGATCACATAAAAACTAGAGAAAGAGTGGTTCTTGATTTTTACCCTAAAATTCTGAAAGTTTATATTATTTTACCATGTATATATTAAAATAAGGCCATATAAAGATTTGAAGTAATCCAAACACAAATTTCTTAAGAATTTAAATTACTTTCGTTTTCAGTTTTATAATATCCAGATTTTTTGCTTTGGAATTTTTCTTTCTTTGTTACATATAGGGTATGTCAACTGTAGTATTTCAAAAGAAACACATTTTCATTGTTATTGAAATAAATCTTTTACAGTGAAAGAAGAGTAGTAGAAACTATAGCATTTGAGTGCAAGAATCAGATGTCATATTATTTCATTGTAAGTAGAACTTCTAAGGGGAAAAATTAGACAATCACAAAAGCTTTTTAGTATTTTAACTCAGTTAAGATTGCTCTTTCTATACTTTTCTTTTTTGTCTATGAGATTTTCTTTACCCCATTAGAGCTAAGTGTGTATTTCAGCTTCATTTAATAATCCGTAAGAATTTACTGTTAATTTAGGTCTTGAATCATTATTGATAAAATGATCTGTTACTTTTATCTGTGCATAAGTTCAAATTGGTAAAAACATATTATTTCATTTTCAGGTTTTTATTTCACTTTTTCAGTTATGTACCTCCAGCTTCTGTCTCTCTTTACATAGTCTAAACTTGATATTGATGCTCTGGGGCATCAAATCACGATGCTTGATTTAGGTTTTACCTAGAAGAGGAGTGGCCACCAACATTTTGCAGGTACAAGTTAAGGCCTGTTGCAAAGCTTGGCATCTAAGCTATGAGCTCTAACTAATATCTTCCAGTGTATAGTTATGGTCAGATGGAGCTTATATTGTCTCATGTTTGTACCATAGGTTGTAATTATTGTAATGTTTATAACATAGTAAATTCATTAGGCAATTATGTTTTGTTGAGGTATTTGAAAAATTATTTGTTATTAACTTGTAAGCTTTTGGGTAGCTAATTAGATTACATTTGGAATATTTTATTTAAATGGAAGATACCTGGAATAAACGCCATATTTTCTTTTCTTAATTTTTTTTATTCTATGACATTTTGAAAATAAGCTAGCCTAAACAGTAGTAATAAAAAAAGATGTCTTTCTATCTTCTTGAATGTTGAGGTGAGATAACTTAAAATTTATAACTTAGATAAAATTTGTCTAGATTATTAATCACTTATATATATGTATATATATATTTAAAAATTTTTTGAATGTGACATGTATTGTCAATTACTTTCTATAACACCAGGCACTGTTGGCTAAGCACTTTTATATATGATCTGGTTTAGTATTCACAGTAGCCCTATGATGGATACTATCTTTATTTCCAAGTAATTAAATTGACTTAATCAAGGCCACAAAGTTAATTGGCAAAACCTGAATTTGAAACCATGTTGAGTAACTGCAAAATTAATATGGTTATTTGCTATATAGTAAACAGTAAGGAAAATTGGCTGTAGATTCTACATTTCCCTTTCTCTACCAGGGAGGACAGAGAGATAAAATAATATTTTTTTCTCTAATCCTGATCCATAGACTTGAATCCTTTGGAGTATTTATAGGCTGAGGAATAAATTAAAGGTAGGAAGCCTGTGAAGAGCATTTTCTTTTTGTAAAATAATAGGATGTATTAAACATTGCAATTTTTTTCTTTTTGTCTTATCTAGTTAATTCTAAGAGGGCTGACCACATAATGTCTTAGCTTATATTGCCATAACAAAATACCATAGACAAGGTGACTTAAACAACAGAAATATATTCAACAGTTTTGGAGGCTAGAAAAGTCCAAGATCAAAGTGCTGGCTGGTTTGGTTTCTAATGAGAGCTCTCTTTTTGGCTTGCATGTGGCTGTCTTCTCTGTTTATCCTCACACAAGGCATGATAGAATGTGGAGATGAAAGGAGCAAGAAGGAGCTCTTTGGTGTCTCATTTTAAAAGGGAACTAATCCATCATGAAGACCTCACCTCTGTATTCTCATATAAACCTAATTACCTTCCAAAATCTCCATCTCCGGATACCATCACATTGCAGGGTAGGGCTTCAACATATGAATTTTGGGGAAACAACTCATAGTTGATTTATACCCCTTAGGTACTGTGCCTTAGACCAAAGATTCTTTTTTTTTAATTAAAAAAAAATTTTTTTATTATTAAATTCTTTTATTGGTACATTATAGGTATACAACACAATTACATTTCTCATTGGGAATTGTACCTTTACATAATGCATCTTGGTTCTTATTTTTTCCCCATTCCTAGCCCTCCCTTCATGCCCTCCACCCTTCCCTATTTACAAAGACTTTATTTCCATTTTTTCCATTTCTCATCATTTTTCCTTTCCCTTCTTACCTTTCCCCTGCCCCTCCCACTACCCCTACCCCTTTGGACCTTTTCTTCCTATTTTACATTATCGATTATTCATTCTAATCATTGGTACATTTTAGGTATACAATATAATGACATTCATCATTGGAAATTTGCACCTTTACATAGTCTCTCTTGGTTCTTATTTTTCACCCTTGCCCAGCCCTCCCTTCAACCCCTCCATTCCTCCCTATTTACAAAGATTTTGTTCCTATTTTTCCATTTTCCCATATTAATCCCATTCCCTTCTATCCTTTCCCCTAGCCCTCCCACTTCCTTCCCCCTTGCCCCTTTTCTTCCTACTTCACATGACCTATTATACATTTAGTCCTTATTTACACTTTCAGTTTCTCACACCAGAGAAACTATTTGGTATCTATACATGTGTGTCCTATTTATTTCAGTTAAGAGTATTGCCTCAATGTGCATACACTTAGCTATAAATGTCTCTAATTTCTCATTTTTTATGGCTGAGTAGTACTCCATTTTATTAAAAAGAACACATTTTCTTTATCCAGTCTCCAGTTGATGGCCATTTGGGCTGTTTCCAAGTTTTAGCTATTACAAACTGTGCTGCTATGAACATGGGTGCACATATATCACTGTGGTATGATTCTTTTAATTCTTAGACCAAAGATTCTTAGGTGATAATTATTTAGTTTCTCCCACTGGAGTGTTTGAGTCAGTCATGCACATTTAGATGCCTTAGAGTACAATGTGTTTTTTTTAAATCAGGAAATTTACTGTAAGAAGCTTAGTGTTTCTCAAATGTTATCTCAGTTAATTTTTGCAGCAAATGAAGACATTGTGGCTGAGTTATACTTCAAGTGTTGAAACTTATACATTAGGTATGTTAGGATTGCTTTAGGTTAATCACAAATATCCATAACAGAAGAAAACAAACAAAACAACTCAACACACTGTAGCTTAAAGAAGTAGGTGTTTATTTTTTCCCATAACAAGAAGTCTAGAGGTTAGTGGTTGTTGACATCGATACAGGAGGTTAATATTAGGACTTGGTCTGCATCTCTTCAAATCTTGTGGCCTTCCTTTCATCACTCTAAGTTGGCTAAATATAGCCCCACATCTAAGAGAAGGAGCAGAGGACAGTACATGAGAAAACATTATTCCATGTGGTCCCCTCTTTTATGGGATGGGAGTCAAGTAAGTAAATCCTCTAGAAGTTCCATAGCAGACTTCCTGTTTGTCTCACGTGACCTAGAAGGAATGGAAAGCAGTGGAGGGGGAAAAGGAGTATGAGTGGCTTTCAGATTGCCAACCAGAGTCTTACAGAGATAGAATTCTAGATTAGGTCTTTTAATTTTATTTTGCTAACTCTAGCACACTTTAATTTTTCCAAGGAAAGGCATACACATGACTTTGAATCTATAAGAAGTCATATTATTGTTTCTTTTTAGGAAGAATTTTGAGTGACATTTACAAAAAATTGTACAACTGCCTGAGTTAGATGCCATTTGTATTACTTTTTAGCTGAGGAAGTTTCTTAACTTCTCTGGCCTCTTCCAACAGACTTGTAATATACAATCCACACACTTAAAGTACTTAGTTTATTGGATATCATATAAATCAAGTATTATCATATCAAGAACTCAAAATTTAGTAATTATCACCACTATGGGTAGAAAAAGAACAAAGTATTCCAGAAGACTATAAATTTTCATGAAATACAACACGAATCCATTTGTATTTTTGACCATTTTTAAGGCAAGGTCTATGATGATATTTACTGTCTGCCGTGAGGAAAGCTAAAACAGTACATGAAATAAAATTTAAAAACTGAACAAAATTTAAAGGAAGCAAAAGACAATAGTCATTTTTTCTAGGGTAGGTTTATCTTGGTGTTGTTTTAATAGTTTTATAGAAGGATGGTGGTACTGCAGATTGAAACCAGGGCCTTTGCTTTGAGCTACAACCTCATCCCTTTTTATTTTTATTTTTTATTTTGAGGCAGGATCTTGCTAAGTTTCCCAGGCTGGGGTCAAACTTGCAATCTTCCTGCCCCAGCATCCCAGAGTGCTAGGACTACAGGCAGGAGCCCCCATGCCTGGCAGTTTGTTTTTAAATAAAAATATTTCTGTTCTTTTATAAAAAATATATATCCCTTTGAGGAAAAAAATCATTGCAACAATGTAGAAATTTCTGAAAACAGAAAAAAGTCTGTACCACCCCCTAGAAATAACAATCATTAATATTAGATAGATATCATTCTTATACATTTATACAAATAGGATGGATGAGTAAGCAAATAATGGATGAATAAAGATAAAGGCATTAAGTATAGGGTCATACTGTAAATGCTATTGTAAATAGAAATTGATGCATTTCATTTTGCTTTAACAGAAAAGAAACTAAAGTAGAATTAAAGAAGTTGCTGAATTTCAAGTAAATGTTTATTTTCAGAATTAGACATAATATTTGTTAAAATATTCCCCTTAAGGTTTAAAAACATAGGAGGCGTTATGAAAAATTAAGAGGTTTTTCTTGTTATATTTAGTTTTTTAAAGCTATATATTTATTTAAAAAAGAAATAGTTGGCTTCCAGCTTTGAAACATAAGGACTAAGGACTTTATATACTCTCACTTTCCCTCAAATCTACACCATCAACATACATATTTTTTAGTAATTTTTCTATTTCATTGTCTGAGTTTATAACATTTACATTGTTTTGTATCTTCATTGTTTGTATCTATTCATTTTTTAGTGTCTATGTATATATGAATGCAGTAATGACTACTAGTACTTTCTCTAAATCAACTGAATTTCATTGAGATCCTCACTCCTCCCCTTAGCCTGCCTTAGGGCCTAGGGCTGTAATATTCCCAATGTTTTATCACATTTGAATCTACATGCCTCTCATCTTTCTATGCAAATGACGTATTTCTTTAACGTTATGTTTTTGGCCATGCCTTCTTCCTTTGGTAGATATTTCTTCCTTGTTTCTTTGCTTTTCCCTGTTTGAAGATTGAGAAAATTATTTCCTAAGAATGAGAAAATAGTGGAGCAGAAATGGGAAGAACTCAGCAGAGGTGATGTGTAACTTTTATTTTGGAGCTGAGATGTCTTTTCTGAGATTTTGTGATTTGCTTTATATAATGGTTCAATCTGCCTAATTATAATAGGTTGAGATCTACCATTCACTCAGGAGGATACTTTCTGGATCATTCCTCAAATGTGTAGTATAGAACTAGAGTGTTCACATCTACCAGACAAAACTAGCCCAGTTGTCTACTTTCTCTATTTTTTCTAGTTTATTTTCTACTATAGTTTAAGTGAAAGATGAAAAAAATAAACCCCATTTACTTTGCTTCTTTCCAGATGAGCAAATATTAATAACAATCATTAACATTTTATATACTCACCCACATCTGTTTCTTTCTTGCCATTTTTTGAGATTTAGTACATTTTGTTATTTCATTTTTTGTTATGGTTTAGTTCTGAAATGTCTCTCAGAGCTCTTGTGTATTCAGAGGTGAGGCTTTTGGAAGGTGTTTGGGTCATGGAGGTGCTGCACTCATCAGTGGATTCATCTACTGATGAATTCATAGCTAAATGTGCTGGGAGAAGACTGGACCTGGTTGGAGGAGGACGTGGTCATTATGGGTGCCTTTGGAAGATTCTCTCTCTCTCTCTCTCTCTCTCTCTCTTTCTCTCTCCCTTCCTCTTTCCCTCCCTCCCTCTCCCTTCCCTGCTTCTGGCTTCCATGGGTGAGCAGCTTTCTTCTGGCAGGCCTTTCTGCCATGCCATAAGATTTTTAAATTCCAGTGACACTATAGAAATAAATACCTTTTATATTCTGTTCTGAGACAAATTATTTTTGGTGTTCAAATTTTCTTTTGGTGGCCCAATTCATTGTAGAAGAGATATTTTGTAGTAGAGAAGCCGAAAATATTTAGAAGTAATGAATTTTGTGATGTAGAGAGATCACCCCCAATTCTGGTTTTATGTTCTTAAAATCTGCTAAATTCTAGCCTAGAAAAGTTCTTATACAGTTTTTGCTTTAAATGAGAAATTTAAATGAATGAAATACACTTTGATCATTAATTAAATTTAAAATAACATCACCTTACAATTGAAAATTTTAAGAAAAGGTTTTTTTTGGGGGTGGTGGTGGTACTGGGGATTGAATCCAGGACTTTTGCACTGAGTTACATCCCCAGCCTCTTTTTTATTTCTCATTTTGAGACAGCATCTCATTAAGTACCTAAATTACCTTAGCTGAGCTCAAACTTGATCTTTCTTTTAGCCTCCTAGAGTTCTGGGATTACAGGCATGCACCACTACTTCAGGCTAACTTATTTTAAGCAACTGCTGGACAAAAACATAAAATCTGAATGTTACAGACTTTGAAAAATATTTTATAATTTAGACTACGCTTTGATATTTTTTAATATATTTGAAGTGGTAGAAGAAAATTCAATTTTATCAATGTGATTCATCATATCAGTAAAAATTGAAGAATGAATATAAATGAATTATTTAAAAAATAACTAGAAAACCCACCCACTAATAAACCAAAAGAAAACACAAAGAAATTAATAAAGATGAAAGCAGAAATTAATATGGTAGAAAATTAAATAGTTGACCTAATAGTTTTAAAATGATACAAAATGAAAAGTTAGCTTAAATTGATTAAGAAATCAAAGATAAGAGCATAAATATAGACAATATTAATTGATAAGGGGAAAATGCCAGTTATACTATAGGAAAGAACCACTTTCCAGACTTGTATGCAAATAAATGTGAAAATCATAATTATATGGTTAAGTTTTTGAAAACTTAAGATATCAAAATTGACCTCATTAAGAATAGAAAGACTTAGGGCCAGGGATTTAGCTCAGTGGTGCTGTGCCTACCTGGCATATGCAAGGTCCTGAGTTTAATCCCTGGTACTACAAAAAAAAGGAAAGAAAGACCAAAGAGATCAATTTCCAAAGAGAAATTGACAAATGTTATTTTTATCTAGAGAATTATCACAGAAATACCCTACAAAAAGCACTTGGTCCAGAAGGTTTCACAGGGTAATGATAGCATTCAAATTACCTGGAGGTAGTTCCAATGTTTCATAAATCATTCCAGAGAAGAGTTAAATGGAGAGAACTTTCTATTTTTATGAAGTAAGTATAACTTCATACGTAGGCTAATAAAACGATAACACAGGGCCGGGGATTTAGCTCAGTGGCACCATGCCTACCTTGCAAGCGCAAGGACCTGAGTTCGATCCCTGGTACCAAAAAAACAAAAACAAATTAAAAAAACGATAACAAAAATAAATTACAGTCCAATTTCACTTATAAATATTGATGAAACTACTAAACGAAATATTAGCAAATATAATTACACAGCATATTAATAACATATTGTACTATCACCAGCAGGGTTTATTTCAGTAATATACACTTGGATCAATATTAATACTCAAGAAAATATCACTTGATGAACTCTTTATTGATGTTATTTATTTTTTGCAGCATTACTTGTAATTGGAAACAACCTAAATATGCATACATAGCAGAGTGATTGAATAAACTTTGCAATAGTTACATAATGGAGTATCTGTGAAAATCAGTTGAGGAAACTGTAATCTGGTACAGAATTATTTCCAAAGTAATTCAATATATATGTAGAAGAACACTCATGAAATGTCCTATTTTGTACAGAAGGAAGGGCAAATGAGAAAACATACATATATTTGTTCAATCATGCAGAAAGAAACAGAAAAGGGGTAAACCAGAAATTATTGAGACTCATTGCTTAGAGATGATGGATACAAATAGAGTAGAAAAGATGGGGTTGATGTGAGTAGGTTGGGGTGAATAGGATGGGGGAAGTGGCACTTATTTGACTATTTTTTGTATAATTGTGACTTTTGGACCATATTAATCTTTCTTATACTAAGTACACAAACAAACAAAAATGGGTGAAGAACCAAAAGGGATACAAACAGAAACAAAGGAATTTAACTGTACTTCAAATGACATAGCCACACTGAAAGTATAGGGTGGTGCTTGGCTGGATGGGTAGAACTAACTTAAATAATTTTGATTAGTATTTTGACCATGCATTCTAAGTCTAAAGAATAAAAATACTATAAATAATTATTTTCTGTTTCTCTACACTCAGGCATGCATGCATGTAGACTTAATATTTTTGGAATCTGGATGAAGGATATACAAGAATTCTCTTCATTGTTTTTTAATTTATGTGTATGTCTGAAGTTTAAAAAGAGAAATTTTGACTATCAGTTTTTATATACAAAGTGCCTTTCACTGATGAATTTCCAAAAAATTTCTAAGGTTTACTTTTCCCCATTACTTCCACCTATAATTCTGTTCCGATATACTGCAATTACTGTAAATTCCAAGTGCCCACTTGCTGTTACCTGAAGATTTATAAATTCCCAGGTACTCATGGGCTGTTCCTCCATAACTGAAGAACAGTTTACTTGAAGGTATATTAAGAATCCTATTCAGTGACTCACAATAGGTCCTCACAAAAGTTTGAAATAAGAAGCCTAGAATATTTTCTCTTTCTGTAGTACAATTGCAACTATAATAAGCTGACTGTAATTACTCTTGGAGATTTTGTTTTGGTCAGGAAGGCAATGGGAGTGATTAGTATGCAGTATTGTGATACAGAAAAAGTTACATCTAGGAGTATTCCAGGGGTCCTTGAAAAACTATAAATTAGGATGAAATCAAGGCTATTGTTCTTCATCATTTTAACTCTTGTCAGAGGCTCTTTTTTAAGTTTAGAGCTCATCACCATCATTGTTAATATTAATATTTTTATTACTGTTGTTATCCTTGATGGAAGACACTTGAAATAACCCCCCATGATCATCAAAATGCTTAGTTTACCTGTAAATGTTTATGTTTTATGTTTTGAGAACATGGTTAGAAAGACTAAGCCAGTTGAACATAAGGGAGTAAAATCACTTCTCAGTGGATAACTTGATAAAATTTGTGTGAGATTCAACACTAGAGTAGGTTGTAAATAAAACTTACCAACTGATTATAGTGGTAGGTTTTCTAGGTATGGAACAGGACATGAAATCTTCTTTTTCAGAAGCTAATTATTTTGGTATTCCCAATTCTTACATCAAATTGAAGAAGAACTTAAGAATTTTTTCTGTACTTTGAACTTAATGAATCATTGATCTGATCTGACCTAGGGTGTTACTACAGTTTTTCTTCTTGTAGTGAGTCACAGGGCCAATTTATTGCAGTAAATGCAATGCCTGTATATTTCAAGCAAGTATATGGCAAATAGGATTTCATGTGTAAAAAGTACTGTGTCACCTGGCTAATGTAATTACTCTGAAGGTCACACAGCTATTGGTACATCATCTTTGTGACAGTTTATTGTTATGGTGTGCAACCTTCTTCTTTTAATATTACCCTTTTTTTGTGGCAATAGCTAATGATTTATAGAACTGGTACTTCCAAGACCCTGTCTCTGACTTTTATAGAGTGCACTTTTAGACTGGCTTTTTTTTTTTCATTCAGTGATGTCACATTTTAGCTTATTCTTTAGGGATCATAATATTATTTTCTGTTCAAATTCATGGTTATTATCTCCCTCCATTCAGTCTTGACTTATATTTATATATTTTACTATCTTTTCCTTTATTCACATCAATAGATGTGCACAATTGACAACTGACTGATTTTCAGGGCTACAATGTTGATGTGCGCAACTTGCCATTTAGTGGTAAGAAATTGTTAAGTACTCACATTTGATGCTGGTGTAGAGCCCAAATTTATAGACATATATAACATGATCAGCTTCTGTTTAGTTCATAGCTGGATTCCCTTTGACGCCACTGACTGTTGCCAAGTTTGAAGAGAGGATTAGGAGGCACATGGAGTTCATCTTCAAGCTGTGCAGGGCGCTGTTGAAAGAGCCTTTGTGTTCTGTGTAATCAGGAGAACTGGTCAGTGTTTCAAATATTTGCAGAACAATGCTTATTCGAGAATTTGTTGCCATTTTCCCCATCCCCTCTCAAAATAATGAGAACATACTTAGATTTCAATCTTTGCTTTATGTGGTTATGATATTCTTCCTTTTCAAAAGCACAATTTTAACTTTTATTCATAAATGTTGAAAACAAAGCCCAGTTAAAATTTGTGTTCAGGTAGAATTTTCATAATCTTGTAGATTATTTAATTTATGCCTTAGCATGGACAGAAATGATTCTTCGAAGAGTAACAGCTTCACCCTGCCTGCTTTGAATTTTCAAGCTGACTGTCATTTTTCTGCATATCATTTTTTTCATATAAAGGGAAGCATTCTATTACTAAGAAAAACTGCCTAAAACTCCAGGTTTGAGAATATCCTTCAGAAGAAGACTTTCCTGGCAGGGTGAAAGGTTTACAGTGTATCCTGGATTTGCCACCTTAGATTACACTTTCTCCTAGGGTTTTCTTACTTGGGGAGGAAAAATAAGATAATTTTCTTCTTTCTTTACCACTGAAGAACACTGAGTATTAGGGCTGTGACTTTCTTTACAATGTTTTTTCGGATGCTTTTAGTAAAGTCAAGACATGCTGATATATTTACACTCACCAAAACAAAAACAAAAACAATCCCTGAAATCTATGGAAGAACAAAAGTAACTATAGAAAATCAACATAGTGTTCAGATTAAGAGTGCGTAATACTGTTTGCTTGTTCTGAGGATCCCAGTAAAATTTACTGCACCCCAAGCACTCTCATCATTTTTAAATTGATTCTAGGTATTTTTATTTAGTGTCTATTGTTTGCTAATGGCTATGCCAAACACTAAGGATATTCAGTGGACCCTCAAGTTATGACCAGCCTGACATACGAACAACTTCATCTGCCTCTTGTTGTCTATAGCGTGTACCCAGGTTAACATCAAGATTTCAGCTGTATAGACTTACAACCAACTTGAGTTACAACCAGCCCTTGGGAACCAATCGAGTTTATAAGTCCACTGTACTAGTGAACAAAATAATTTTTTTTTGGCACTTGGGGATCAAACTCAGGACCTTGTTCTTACAAGGCAGATGTGGTGCCACTGAGCTAAATCACAGGCCCCAAAATAATTTTTTTAATCTTCGCAGAATTTATAGTATGATAGAGAGGCTTGATGGTGAAGTAATTACAATAAAGTATAATAAAGTCATGATTTAGGCAGTTTAATATTCCAGTCGACTCAATTGAAAGCATTCATAAGGAAATGACTTTTTCAGATACTTTGGGATATTACAATTTTATTTTTATTCTTGTTCTGAGGAGTCTGACTTTTCCATAACCGAATACCAGATAACCTATTTTTATCATAGGTAATACTTGTATTCATATCTGGAATACTTTGTGGAGACTTGCTAGTTTAAATATTTCACCTTGACAAGTGTGGAAGTAACTTTACAGTATGTTATTCATTTATATTTATATTTCACAAGTTACAGTTATCAAAAACGTACTGGTGTTTGAATTCATCTTTTGCAAATATTGATCTCCAGTTAACCTGTAGTATTTTTGCAGTGTATCTACAGATCAATTTGGGGAGAATTTATATCTTTAGAATATTGTGAAATCTAAAGTATGATTGCAGTATCTAATTTATTTGGGCTTTAACACATTTATTCTAGAAATGTTTTGTAAAGTTTCTTCCTCTATGTATATGTGTAGAAAGCCCGCATATTTTGTAGATTTATTATTTTTTTAAATGTATTTTCTATTTTTGGCAAACATGGAAATACATTTTATACTAGCCCCATATCCAATGATCTTGACAAATATACTTATCAATTCTAATAAAATATTTTAATTTTAAAATTTATTTCGATATGCCTGATCAATTTGTGAATAATGAATTTTACTTCATATTTTCTACTGTATATAATTTCTAAATAAACATTTTTAATAGAAATGTTTTATTCTAGGTTAACACAAAACTGAATGCAACAGACTTTCTATTGCCCTCTGCCCCTTCCCCTCCTGCATCCACTGCCTTCTCCACTGTCAACATCCCCTACCAGTCTGGTATGTTTGTTACAATCAGTGAGTCTATGCTGACATCATTATCACTCAAAGTCCATAGTTTATATTAGGGTTCACTGTTGATGTACATTCTATGGGTTTTGACAAATGTATAGTAACATGTACCTACCACAGCAGAATCATAGAATAATTCACCGTTGTAACAATCCTCAGTGATCTGCTTATGGATCCTTCCTTCTCTCTACCTCCTGGCAACCACTGATCTTTTTCCTTGTTTCCATAGCTTAGCTTTTTCTAGAAGATCATATAGTTGGAACTGTATTGCAGCCTTTTTTTTTGATTGGCTTCTTTCATGTAGTAATATGCATTTAAGTTTCCTCTATGTATTTTCATGCTTTGATAACTCATTTATTTTTAGTGCTGAATAATATTTTATTGTCTGGATATTCCATAGTTTATTTATCCAGTCACCTACCAAAGGATATTTGCACATTGTATCCAAGTTTGTGCAATTATTAATACAACTACTATAAAATTTAATGTGCAGGTTTTTATGTGGACAAAAGTTTTCAGTTTATGCAGAAAACTATCAAAGACTATGACACTAGATTGTATCATTAGAAAATGTTTAATTTTGTGACAAACTTTAAAAATATCCTTCAAACTGATTTTGTACTCCAATGAGTAATGAGTAGGGGCTCTTATTGCTTCATATCCTCAGCAGCATTTGGTGTCAGTGTTTTCAACTGTAACTATTCTATCAGGTATGAAGTGGTAACTCCTTGTTATTTTAATTTTCATTTGGAATTCTCTAATGACAAATAATATTGAACATCTTTTTTTAAACACCTTTTCATATGCTTGCCATCTGTGTATCTTTTTTTTAAAGTGGTCTCTTTTTGAATAGTTTGCCATCTTTAAATTGGACGTTTGTTTTTTGAGTTTTATGTATATTTTTTACAACATTCCTTTATCAAATATGTCTTGTGCAAATATTTTCTCCAGGTCAGTACTTTGTCTTTAATAGTGTCTTGTGAAAAATAGAAATTAATTTTTGTAAGGTTTAGCTTATGAATTGTTTCTTTCATGGATTGCATATTCGGCGTTCTGTTATAAAGTCATCATTACACTGAGGTCATAGGTTGTCTCCTAGGTTATCTTCTAGAAATTTAATAGTTTTGTGTTTTACAAGTAGGTCTATGCTCCAATTTGAGTTAATTTTACCAAGTGTAAGGTCTATACTAGACTCTTTTTGGGATGTCCACTTGTTCTCACCTCATTTGTTAAAAAGACCCATCTTCTCTCCACTGGATTGTCTTTATTCCTTTGTCAAAGATCAGTTAACCATATGTATGTTGGTTTATTTTCCATTATTTTGACAATATCACAGTGTGTCAATTACTGTGATTTTATAAATCTTGAGTAGCATTAGTCTCTACTTTGTTCAATTCTGAGTCTTTTACTTTTCAATATAAAAGTTAAACTCATTTTGTTGATATTATCAAAATAATTTGGGATTTTGATTGAGGCTATATTAAATCTATGGATCAATTTGGGAAGAATTAAAATTTGACAGTATTGAATCTTTCTATAAACATGGAAATTCTTTTCTTGATATATTTCATTGCAGTTTTATAGTTTTCCTTAGATAGATTTTGTGCATATTTTGTTAGATTTATACCTAAATATTGCATTTCTTGGGATATTAATTAAATTACAATGTGTTTCTAATTTCAGGTCCATTTGTTCATTTCTGATATAGGAAAATTAATGACTTTTGTACACTGACCTTATATCCTGCAACTTTGGATAGAGTTCCAAGGGAGATTTTTCTTTGCCAATTATTTTGTATTGTGTATAAAGAAGGTCATGTCATCTGTGAACAAAGATGTTTATTTCTTTATGTCCAGTCTGTGTATCTTTTATTTATTTTTATTGTATTATTGAATTAGCAAGGATTTCCAGTATGATATTGAATAACAAAGGTGAGAAGAAGCATCCTTTGCCTTGTTCCTAATCTTTTTGGGAAAGGTTTGAGTTCTACACCATTAAATATGATGCTAATTATACCTTTTCTGGGTAGCTCTTTCTTTTTTTTTTTGGTACGGGGGATCGAACTCGGGTCTTTGCGTTTGCAAGGCAGGCGACAGAACCACTGAGCTAAAGCCCTGGCCCAAGGGTAGCTCTTTCTTATCAGTTCTGAAAGTTTCTTTTATTCTTTAGTTGCTGTAATATTTTTTTATAAATAGATGTTGAATTTTGTCAAATAATTTTCTGAATCTATTAATATTACGTGATTTTCCTTGTTTAACTTGATATGATGGATTACATTAATTAATTTTTAAATGTTGATCCAGCTTTGCATACCTGGGGTAAATCCCATTTGGTTGTGATAAATAGTTCTTTATCTACATTGTTGGATTTGATTTGCTAATATTTTGTTGAGGATATTTGCGTCTATAGTCTCATGAGTGATATTGTTTGATAGTTTTATTTTCTTGTAAAATCTTTGGCTAGTTTTGGTATTAGAGTAATACATTCTTTCTGCTTATATCTTCTAGATTAAATTATAAGAACTTGTATAATTTCTACCTTAATGTTTGGTAAATTCACCTGGGCCTGGTTCATTCTGTTTTGGAAAGTGATTAATATTGATGAAATTTCTTTAATAAATTTAGGCCTTTCAGATTGTTTATATACTCTTGTATGAATTTTGGCAGATTGTCTCTTTTAAGTATTTGGTCTATTTTGTGTAGGTTATCAAATTTGAGGGCATAATATTAAAAATATCCCTTTATTATCCTTTTGTTGTTCGTGGGATCTGAGTTATATCTTCTTCATTTCTGATATTAATAATTTTTGTCTTCTCTCCTTTTTCTTAGCTTATCTAGAAGCTTATCTTTTTAATTGACCTTTTCAAAGAATTAGTTTTCAGTTTATTGGTT